CCCCGATGCACCCCAGGGCGGGGACGGGCTGGCTCAGGGGGGCGGGGAATGGGACACGGGGCCTTTCCCCTCTAGGGGGCGCCGGCCCCGATGCACCCCAGGGCGGGGACGGGCTGGCTCAGGGGGGCGGGGAATGGGACACGGGGCCCTGCCCCACTAGGGGGCGCCGGCCCCGATGCACCCCAGGGCAGGGACGGGCTGGCTCAGGGGGGGCGGGGAATGGGACACGGGGCCCTGCCCACTAGGGGGCACCAGCTCCCACCTAGCTACAATGCTCCGTGGCTATAAGTGGTTCCGTGTGTGACATGAGTTGCTGGGTCTCAGCCCAGTTCCGAACAGGAAGCCCCCCACCCCCACCCCCCCAATACGGCCCAAGCCCCAGCTCTCTCTAAACCGAGCTGGGACCAGGAACAGCGCCGCCCCCCAACGCCCCTGCAGCCCCTTCCCCCCAGTCCCTGGGGCTGCCCCCAACTGACCTTGGGCTCCGGCACCGAGGGCTGGGCAGTGCTGACTGCTGCTCTCCTGAGTGGGGCACCCCCGATGGGGTCCATTGGGTACCCCACGGAGTAAACGCTGCCTTCCTGCTGGGAGCAGAAACCCCCCTGTTAACTGGAGCCTTCCCTGCCCCCACCCACGGCACAGATCCCAAGGGACCCCTGCCCTGCCCCCGCCTGAGCCCCTCTGCTTCCCCCAGCTCCCTTCCCCCCACCACACAGATCCCTAGGGACCCCCTCCCCCATCCCCACGTGAGCTCCATTGCATCTCCCAGAGCCCAGCCCCCACCCACCACACAGATCCCATGGGACCCCGTCCCACCCCCCCATGAGCCCCTCTGCATCTCCCAGCGCCCAGCCCGCTTCCGCCCAGCCCCTCCCTCACCTGCAGGTCACTGCAGAGCTCATTCAAGAGAACGGGCTCGTCCCGGGACAGCAGGTCCACGACGCGCTCCAGGAAATCAGCCAGGACTGGAGAGAGAGGACAGAGCAGGATTCGGTGGGCTGGGGGCTCCTGTCCAGTCACCCCCTCCCCCTCCGCCCTGGTCTGGCTCAGGTACGGAGGTGTGTGCTGCTGCTGCAGGGTGGGCTAGGACTCCTGGGTTCCAACCCGGGCTCTGCGCTGGCCTGCTGGAGGCAAGTCATGGCCCTGCTTTGTGTCTCAGTTTCCCCTGCTGTACAAGGGGGACAATGGTGCTGACCCCTTGGAGATGGATGGCTGGGAAGCACTAGAGAAGAGCCAGGGATCGTCATCGTTACAGGCAGCTGAGTCCCTCGTTCCCAGCCATCGAGGCGGGTGATTTTCCAGCCCGAGGCCGGGGCCAGAACTGGGCGACTGACGGGCTCTCGGGTCCTGGCAATTCCCCAAAACGCAAATTGTTTCAGATCGAACGAAAGAATAAAACTGCTCAGAACTTCCAGCCAATTGAAAAGCCCAAATCCTGACGTTCCACCGACATCCCGAGAGCCCAGCCTTCGGGGGCCGTTTTTCGGTTTAAATAAAACAGGAAATCTCAAAATGGAAAGTTGTTTTGAACCAAAAACCAGACTTCTGCCATTTGGGGAAGTTTGGGGGTTTTCCCACCACACCAACAATATGGAGAAAGCAACGGGAATTCAGGGGAAATGTCTCTGCTGCAAATCTGCATTTGTCACCACACAAATGTGTCCAGCAGTACCCAGGTGCCTGACTTTTCACTGCTATTTATTGGGTGTATTACGGTAGTGCCCAGACGCCCTGGTCCTGGCACACGACCTGTTTGCGCTAGGCGCTATACGCTAGGATTGCTATTTATTAGGTGTCTTACGGTAGCACTGAGGCCTCCCGGTCTGGACCCATGATCTCATTGCGCTAGGCGCTGTACAGACACCCCCCAGCCAGACACTTACACGCCCCATCAACCACTCTGTTCCCCACCATGGTCTTCGGGCTCCGGCTCAAGGCGTAGTCCTTAAAATGCCCCATCTGCTCCTGGAACATGGGGTGCAGCTGGTCTGTGGGAGCCGGCGGCTTGCCGTGCCCTCCATCCGCTCGGGGGGAGCAGAAATGGAACAGTTTCCGGCAGGGGAATAACCTCTGTACGCAGCTGGACGGGGAGTCCTCCGAATCTGCGAGAGAAAGGGGGTGGCAGGTGAACCCTGGGGTCACACAGAGTGGCAAGGGATACTGAGGGCAGAGATGTGGCCGCTCTGGGGCAGGGCACGAAAGCTGTTGATACATGGACCCCTCGTGCATCATGGAGATGCAGCCACCTCCGGGGCAGAGCACGGAGGCTGTTTCACACCAGAGCTCGTTTAGGACAGGAAGTGAAGCAGGCTCCTGTACCCCTCTGAGACGGCAGGGGTGAGTTGGGGAGGCAGGATGGAACCTGAGCTGGGCTGGGGACCAGCCCGGATGCCGGGGTTCCTCTCCCCTGGGGGAAGGGCCCCGATGGCCATGCACCTTGCGGGGAGCTGAGAGCCGAGTCCAGCTCGTGGTCCGTGGCTTCCAGCACCTCGTCCAGGCAGGGGTCGGGCGCCACGTCCCGCAGGCACCACACGAAGTCGGGCAGCACGCTGCTCAGAAGGAAGCTATTCTCCCAGGAGAACTCGTCCAGCACTCGCACTACCCGGGGCAGATCCCTCACGTACCTGCAGGGGGCGCCGTGAAGGAAAAGAGAGGGCCGAGCGACGGGAACCGAACTAGGCGGGG